ACACTCTATATCCCATAAGTGTCAAAAAACATGTAACATTATATGTGAAGGGAAAATAGTCAGTCTCTGGCTCAGCACTGTTGTTTATCATATTATGGGATGTTAAGCTAAGTGCAATGGTACTGAGCGCCACCCATATTAGGAAGGCTTCACGACTGGCCAATAGCCACGACTGGACACTAGAAATAAGTTTTGAAAAAATTATTTTGCATACGATTCGTACAAATAGTGATAATTTGTGTGAATAATAGCTATAGTTTGAAGGCATGTGGAGATCTCGTGAGATAATGACCTAAACTTTGCGTAAATCTTGTGTGAAACAAAATCTTAATATTTAACAACATGGGCCTTGGTGGTTGTGGTGGGATAGCGACTGATCGTTGTTAGTCTGCCGCACGGAAAGAACGTGGGTTCGCGTCCCTTAAGGGGTAGCTCTTTCGTGGCGAGAATCCTATGTTTCCCTTTGCCAACGGCTGTGGGTTTGTCTGTGTGTCCACTTGAATCTGTGAAAGACCGCCATACCACTGTGTGACGCGAGTATTGAATCATTAATATTTAACAATAATTTATATATATAGTTTTAATTCGGTAATGCACGTCATTACAGGTATTATATACTTATATCATATTAAATTAAAAATATAAATATTTGAATATAAAACCACCAAATTAATTTTAATGTACATTAATACTGTACTAATAATTATTATTATTCATTGTAGCGTGTTTACTGTTTCCAAATGCATAATTGGCCAAGCTGCATTTATTGGAATAATATGATTCCTGTTGCGAATATAATCTCGCCCATTTAATACTAAATTACAGTTGACATTGTAATTATTGTAATTAATGATAACTGAGTTCACCAATTGTTGAGCATATTTCTTATATTCAAATTTTATGAGTATTTCTCTCAAACTTTTGGTGAACATAATGATAGAGAACCCAAACCATAGACTTATAACACTCGCCGTTAGACTCAAGTACTCCTCGAAAGACATTTTGAGTGTTATTTCGTATTCGACTGTAGACTCGAATGGAAACAGAAGAGCAATTAGATAGTTATCGCCTGAATTGTATCGATCATGTGACTCATACGTCGTGTAATGATATTGAATACAGTCAATTCGGTTTATGCATTTCGGGTTACATTCGCTGAAATGTCCGTAACTGTAATGTTGTTCGAAACGCAGGTTATCTTGGTCGTATTTCGAAAATCTTTTATTATCATTATCAAAAAACATATCGCTCAAATAGGTTAAATTATTTTTCGCAGCATGTAGTCTCTCTCTACATCGTTCCCGGCATTCAATCGCATCCATGCCATCATCAATGCAATGCTTAGCATTCAGTGTTTGTCCAAGGTTGTATTTGGTGATGGATTGCTTATATTTAATTATATAAAAGTCATCCTTTTTGGTATTGAATACTTTATAAGTTAGCAAGTTCGAGTTCGGGCTGCTAACACGACGATCTTTTGAATGAGTTAAAACAATTATTCTTTGCGATGTATCAGCATGTTTATTTTTATTTATGATACCGCCAATGGGAATTAATATTTGTAGTGCTAACAGGTTTTCATTGCTGAAATTATGGCCATGTGGATTTATCGTTATACACTGATGGTAATTACTGATAGAATCTTGATAAAATTTGTTTGTTAACCTAAGTTCACTACCTCTATCACCAAAAGGGTTACTTTGAAAGAATTTCTCTGGTGATATAAATGAATCAAATTGAGCACCAATCGGCAATTTGTTGAATTCGTCAAGTAAACTTGGTGTTTTATCTGAAAATAAATTGAAAGTAAACTATGTGAGTCACAAAACTAATTTTAAATTACCGTCATTTCAACACAATTCAGTACTCAATTTTAGTGCATATTTTTGATATACATTTCAGCGCCTTCACAATCATTTTAATTTTTGAGAACTGATTTGTATTTAAAATTACTTTATAATATATTATATCAAAATTACTTGATTTGGCAATGTTGGTTGTTAAAATTTTTAATTTATCTGGCAGGATTTGGTCAAGTTTTGGCAAACATATTGTAAATACAGTATGAGTTAATGAATCGCCATGTGATAGGAACCTGAAATTTGTAGTCGTCTCGTATGCGAAGTATAATTCACTTAATTTATACGTTTGATACACACATCCCATCAAACATAACACATACGACACCACAGTATAACGCAGTGTACTTTAAATTTTGCANTCTCCGTTTTTGTCGAAACTCTTGTCCGCTGTCTCTCGACTCAAATTCACCTCTCGTTTGATAAGATCTTTGTTCACTCATTGGTACGATTGGAGTGAAGAACTGCTCCCTCGGCTCCTCCTTAAGAACTTTCATATCACCCAAAAGTGATCTAAAAATAAGACAATAAGTCATTAATGGGTGCAAAACAGTGGATCAACTCTTGAGAACTGACGCCAATTTGTCTTTCGGCATAATTTGTCCACTTTTGGCGTAATTGGTTTCAATAATCTGCAGTTTCAAGAGTTTTAACAAATCGTTTTCAGTCTTCTTCGCCTCTTCGCCACTCAGTGACCGAGCGATACCTTTGGCCGCCATTACTAACCGCTTATCGATTTGGCCACTGATTCTACACAAAGACATTTGCCATCAATTAATCCAATCGATCAAAACCTCTTAACAATCACTGAATTACTCGTTTATATTCTCATTCATATTGTCGTCGATTGGGACCTCCTTTCGACGGCTCTGTTTGATATGAAAGACGGGTTTCGCCAAAACCTCTGTCAGCTTATCGTCCGATTTGCCGAACATTTCCTTCGACTTCAATGTGTCGATCAGTTGATTGAGATTATGTTTGGCCACAAGAACTCTGTCCTTAGGGTCTGCCATCTCTTCCTCACCCCTTTTGGACACTGTGTCCACACGATTATCATATTTCATGTCAAGGTCTTTATGCTTGTCTTCATTGTTATCATCGCTTAATTGTCTTCTGTTGACCACCAGTTGACACCAATTCACGCATCTTTGCCGACAAACACTTCCAGTCAAAGAGAGTATTCACGTTATAATTGGTAATCAATTCATACATTTGTGTCAATACTTACAGCAAATGACATGTTTTTAATGATTTCCTTAAATACATTAAACTCGTGAGTGATTTATATTACTATTTATGACAAAAAACTTTCACTTATTATGAAAATCAAGCATTCCCCAGAGACTTACTATTTTCCCTTCACATACAATGTTACATGTTTTTTGACATTTATGGGATAGAGAGTGTATGTCGCAAAGTTCCAGTAGGTTATTATTGTGAATACATATTGAGTGAATTTTGACATTTAAATTCAGTTTAAATTTGATATTATGATTTATTCTTATATAAAATTTAACGAGGAATCCGAATATGCAATTTATATTGTCCTGTGATCTCGGGTTCGGTCGCAGTGACCACTTTTATCGGGACATGAACATATGATATATCAATTCAATAAAGAATTTTACACTGAATACGATTGTAATAATATAAATCATAATCTAATAACATAAATTTTTAAAAATAAAATTAGTAAATAAGTAAAATAAAATAAGACATTTAATATTTTGTAGAATTACATATTAAATATAAAATGATATAAAACCACTAACAGTAAAAACCAAATAAATTGGACAAAAAACTGCATTCGTGTCTTAAAATTCTTTCGTAAATAAACAAACAAAATCATTCAATAATAAAACTAAATTGAATTTAAAATGAACTATTTAAAATAATGTAGTTTCAGAAAATTTGATGCTATGGGTTGTGCAAAATATTGGTTTAATATCAAACACAAACAATTGGTTGATGCTGGTCAAGGATATAGGCCACCAAAAGAAATAGATCCTGACGACAACGAATCTTCACTCTACTTTTCTGAAACTACATTATTTTAAATAGTGTAAATGTGAAAAATAAGTCATAAAAGTAATGATTTCTGTGAATTATTTTTTAAGTCAGTTGAACCAGGTACTGACAATCAATAACAGTTGCTCTTGTTTGATTTATATGAATCAGAACCATAGGCTTACCTATGGTTTCAATTGACAATTATTTGATACTACGGTAATGATAACTATCTTATTCTCGGGTCAGGTTGTGCTTTAGGTCGCAAGGAATTGACAACTCATTCTTTTGTACATTT